TCGTGAGTTATAATTAAATTTCAGAGAACAATGTTAAGCTAGCATTCCGGTTTAGTAGCTTTGACCTTGGCCAACCAAGTAAGAGACTACTATCAATTTGGTTGGAAGAATTGTTTTATGTATGATGAGACGTGCACAGTAACCTTGCACGTGTCGTATGTGTGTTATCCCTTGTGTTGTGATGTGATGTGATGGGATGTGATGTTATGAATGTGTCTTTATATGAGATTTGAAATGATATGATGGTGCAAATGAAATGTTATGTTATGTTATGATAAGCTATGTAGTGTATGAGATGCCACGATGCGCTATAATATGTTATATTAGGCCATGTTATGCTATGACATGCTATGAAATATTTTGAAATAAGGAAAAGCTACGGAACACAATCTCCATGCTATGATTTGAAAGTTATGTTATGAGTGAAATGATATAGAAAGTTTATGCATGCATATTATCGAGTGTGATATGTGATGAAAGGATGAAGGTTGTCCTACATGATTTATTACGCCACGAAGAAAATATGGGGATCTCATGCATATTTGTATGTTCATGTGCATCGAGATACTTTTCATTTATGATGAGTACAAACACATATACTATGAGACGGGAATGACTATCATGCTTAACATGATGCAATGATGGTCATCATTCCCTCTGGGTGTTTGACAATAACCTAAAGAAGTTAGCCTGACCAGCGGACCCAGGGAGTGTGCGAGCCCGCCTGGTGATCCCATGCTCGCACGTGTGGGTCGTGTGTAGAGAAGAACTACACATTCAATTTGCCTCAATTGGAAAGTAACCTAAGAGAAGACGATTTTAAATGATAGGTGTCATCATTCTACATGTGTTTGCATTTTTTGTTTCCAATAGTGCATGTTGGAATCGCGCAACAACGCACACACTCGATCTAGATGAACACAAAGAACATGATAGAGACAATGCAAGGAGATTTTTGGCTAAAAGATTTATATTTTGATGACTTCAAGTATGTATAGTAGGAGAGAATACAGAGAATAAAGAGAATACATTTTCAAAGTTATGCGCCGGATATATATATGATTTATCTTACTATATTTAGGTTTACCAAATATAACTATTTACTATATATAACTATATAGTTTTTTACTTTAAATATATATAACTATTTACCATATATATTTTTACTATACATACACTATTTATAGTTTTTTACTCGTTATTTACTATTTATGACAATTTAGTCATTTATCAAATATAGTTTTACTATGTATAACCTATTTTCAAAAAACTGATATATATATATGATTTAGTTTACTATATTTATCTTTACCAAATATAACTATCTACTATATATAACTATTTACCATATATAGTTTTACCCGATATAGCTTTTTACTATACATAGTTATTTACTATTTATGACAATTTATCATCTACCCAATATAGTTTTACTCGGTATAAACCCAATATAGTTTTACTCGGTAGGATGATATAGCTTACTATATTTAGCTTTACCAGATATATCTATTATATATAACTATTTACCATATATAACTTTACCGGATATAGCTTTTTAATTTATTCTATATGTCATTTACCAAATATAGGTATAAATAAACAACATGCTCCATAACTTCTATATTGTAGCAGCATCGCGTTGAAGACCATGAAACCTATGTTAGGGTAAGTTTTGAAACAAACTTCAAACGCTTTAAATAAAACTCTTTATTTTCTCTAGACATTTTGTTCTTCCTCGTACAAATATTACATCCTAATCTCGGTTCGATCATTCCTAGTATTCCCTTTAAAAGTACGACATTAAAATACATTTCTCCTTAAAACCAAAATCTTAAATAACTCATTATTTCCATTTTCGGAAACAAAAATATATTTAAAATTATATTTGTTAACCATGAATCCAAGATATGTTGTGTCCAAAATGAATAAAGATTTGTTATGTGCCTTTTAATATATTAGACAACAACCATATAATAATTTGTCACAATAATCATTAGAGAAGAAAAATAATGAATTAAAGTATAGAATATAATTTTTAATATATACTTTTAGTCATATCAATTAGATGCATGGGGAGCACTTACATGTGATATGAACCCACCATTATGTAGGTTCTCTTCCCTTTCACAAAATTGGATTCCAATCTTCATACCCATAATTTAAATTAATTCATAATAATTATTCAATTATATATATATATAAGTTTTATAAAAATATTTTTTAATCGTTCAAGCCTTACTAACGTATTGTTATATTTGGACTTTTCTTTTCGAGCTTTCTCTCGAGATTTTTAAAACCCTTATAAACGATGTCTGTTCTACTCTCTAATTGATGTGGGATCTCACAATCTATAAATTTTCTTTTCTTCCTCTTTATGTTTTTTTTTTCTTCTTTCACATGTACTTGACCAATTTTAATTGATTCTTAATTTTTTTTTTAATATTTCGTTTATGCAAGACCTTTTTGAAATATGTATGTCTATGATAGGAAGATGTTTTAAAGGTTTATTTTTGTATAAGAGATAATGTTATGAAAATGATTTCAGGTTTAAGTTCGCAGAAATCTAGGGTCGTTACAATTTTAATCTATTGAACTATATTTAAGTTGATCGTAAATTTATAATATTTAGATTATACAAACTATTAAGCTATAGACATTAGTCGAGTTAGTGTTGATTATACCGAGTTTACGAGTTTCTAATTCATATAGAAGTCGATATATTAGTATAAAGAGTGAATTTCATTGTGACGGAAGGGACTACTCACTGTAAGAGTTATTGTGAAGCTTTTAGATCCAAAAACAACACGAGTTTCCCTAACTACGTAATCTTCGGACGACCCCTTTTGTAAAAGTTCAGGCTCACTGCTAATAGATATTGTTCTCTTTGGATTTTCCCTTTTGGGCTTCCCCTCAAGGCATTAAAACGAGTCTGTTAGGGAGAAGTTTTCACACCCTTATAAAGGGTGTTTCGTTCTCCTCCCCAACCCATGTGGGACTCTTACAATCCACTCCCCTTCGGGGCTGCTGACACTAGTTGGGGAGGAGAATAAAAGCATCCTTTATAAGTGTGTGAAAATCTTTCCTAGGAGACGCGTTTTAAATACTTTGAGGAAAAGTCTAAAGAGAACAATATTTGCTAGTGGTGGACAAGAACGGTTACACTTTCTTAGATTCTTAGTATTTTTGTACTATCAACCTCAACATGTTAAGATATCCCGACACCCTTCAAAAGTTGATGAACATTTAATTAATTATTACATAACAAAACCAATGCAATGTTGTCCAATCAAATAATGTTTGAAAATCATGAAAAATTCACGGCGAAAATCACTCGATTAATAGGTTGAAAATAGGGTTGGAAGAATACTAATGGCCATATTAATTGATAGCAATTACCAAATTAAAAGCTTCTTTTTAAACGTTTGTCGCATCATTTATGGTGCCTTCTTTACGACTTTGTGACACCCTTGTCTCTAATTCGAGTTTCGTTTTGTTGTGAAAGTTTGACCCCTACCTTCATTAATTATAATTCCTTTTTCATCGTAATTTAGGGTTTAATTCAATACTAATGCCTTCCAATTCCAATCTCAATCTTGTTGTAGAATAACTGTTCCTAATGAGCTAGAGTATGAACTCGAACTTGTAATTTCTTAATCACTTAGTTATGTTTGGATTTGGTAATCATTTTAATTAGAATAGTTGAACAAATTGGTGTATTATATACTATGATCATGATCATATACCTAATTTTCAAACGGTAATAGCTCAAGCCAACTGATAGTAAATATTGTTCTCTTTAGGATTTCCCTTTCAGGCTTCCCAATAGGGTTTGTAAAACGCGTTTGCTAGTTTGAAGTTTCCAAATCCTTATAAGAATGTTTTATTCTCCTCTCCAACCGATGTGAGATCTCACACGAATGCGTAGTGTGAAATTCAAAATCAGTTGAGGAGGAAAACGAAACATTCTTATAAGGGTGTGAAAGCCTCTCCCTAGTAGACGTTTTAAAAAACCATGAAGGGAAGCCTGAAAGAAAAAGCTTAAAGAGGACAATATCTGCTAACAGTGAGATTGAACTCTTACAAATAGACATAAGTATGTTAAGAATATGCATCATTTTTAATCCAAATAGTTTTGAAAGAATAGCCATTAATGCAATCATTATTTTAGTAAATCATATCGAACAAAAAAAACTTGCGACATGGAATCACAAGAAACTCAATGAACACTTAAGAAAAACTAGGGCAAGATACCAACAATCAACGAAAACCTAACTTGTTGATGAAGATATCTAGTTAATGTGTCTGAATAACCAAGTGAAATGAAATTTTAACGAAAAAAGATCACATTTTTATGCTACTTCATCAATTTTTCTCTGAAACCAAAAACTCTCGATTAATGAAGTCTAGTATAGAGTATGAATTTCTCGATATCTCTATTATCAATTTGAAGTTATCGACTTAAACTCTAAATGAGTTTGTATGAGTAAATAGAGATATTATCGTTTCCTCATCTAAAATCTTTGACACGCTAGACTATATTTGCATCCCGACAACATATATACTCGAAATCAAAACAAACATAAGAAAGTAAAGCGTGAAGCGATATCATATATAAGTTCACGACGAAGAAAGCATCAAATTTGTAAGAGAAAATGAGAGAATGTGGCCATAGGAGAAGAAAGAAGAATTTGTGGTAATCCCACTTTTCTCCATGAAACACGGTGGTATGGTCATGTCTTCTCTAAACCAAATTTTTTTGTTGCAGTCTTACAAAAGCGTGGTTAATGAACAGTGATTAAGTGGTTGTTGGGCTTTGAAGATAATATGCATAAATGATTGCTCTTTCTTTAATTTCTACTAAATTCATGCCTTTAGCTTCCCATTTAAGGCCATCTTTCATATGTATTGACATCATATGGGCTACCAACTTTTCTACCTGTTTTTTGATGTGTTTAGGGTTGGTTTTTAGTCGGTCGAGAAGTCAAAGAAGGAGATTATGTAAGGTTAGAAATTAATGGTGATACGTGACTTGTTCATGAGCATCTTTTCACGTTCGTGTGGTGCGTTTCTTCGTCGAGTGGGTAAGTCTTTTCACTTTTTGTAAATTGATATTTAATATGAAACTTGTGGATGAAATGTTGCATCCATAAGAAGATACTCTTATCAATCATAGGAGAAAATTATTGTGATGTCCCACATTGATTAGAGAGAAGAATGAGTGTCAACTAGGATGCTAGGCCTTGGAGAGAGAAACGAGTGTTAGCGAGGATGCTAGCTCTCGAAGGGAGGAGGATTGTGAGATCCCAGGAAGAAACGGAGTGCCATTAATGACACTAGACTCTGAAGGGGGTGGATTGTGAGATCTCAAATCGGTTGGAGAAGAAATGAAACACTTTTTTATAAGGATGTAGAAATCTTTCCCCATCAAACACATTTTAAAAACCTTGAGAGGAAGTTCGAAAGAGAAAGCTCAACAAAGATGATATCTACTAGCGGTAGGTTTGGACTAATACAAATATTCATTAAACTAATGAGAAAGAGCTAACGTGAATTTGTTTAGTTCATATTTTGTTTTTTTTTTTTTTAACACAACTCTGTGTGGAAAACACTTCCATTTTTTTTAAGACTAATCGAGCAGAGATTACAAGACATTAGATATAATACTACTACACTTTGATTTATTCGAGATTGCTTGAATTTCTTAAGATAAAATTTGAAGAGGGCAGATGGGTATTTACCATAGAAGCTAAACAATTTATTCCTAAAATATCTAATCATTTATTTTTAAAATACTTAGGTGTCTTCCTTCCTAAAATACCTAAATTATTTTCATAAAATATGTAGATGATTGGTTAATACAATAATTAGGCTAGGCCTAACTGGATTAAGGATGATATTTTAATACTCCCCCTCAACACTAGTTCTCATTCGTTGGACCATGTTGAGCTCACAGAGAAAGCCCTCATATTTGTCCGTGTTCAGCCACCTTGTAGACAAGTTTGCCACTTGGTCATTCGTATTCTTCTTTCAAAACTTTGTCTATAATAAAATGGTAGTACACTTCCATATGCTCCGTTCTGTCATGAAACATCGAATTATCTACGATACAAATTGCATATTGGTTGTTGCAATGAAGTGATGTCTGATTGTCAACGTTTTTATGTAAATCCTTCATTCAGAGTTTTAGTCATGTACTTTCTTGAGTTGATTCAATAAGTGCTTTGTACTCCACTTTTGTAGTTGATAATGACACTATTAGTTGTCTTTTGCTACACCAAAAAAACATTTTTGAACTGAGCTTGAACACATAATCGGTGCTTGATCTTCGAGTATCATGATATCTTGCATAGTCAGCATCACAGTATCCAACTAGCTTGAAGCCTTTGCTTCTTTTGTACAAAAGAACATAGTCAACTGTATCTTTGATATATTGCAGGATCTGTTGAGCCACATCCAAATGAGGCTTCTTCGAACTTTACGTGTACCGACTAATGACTCCAACTCCATTTTCAAATGTCTTTGGTTGGTCCATGTAGATCTCCATGTTTAACTCTCCATGCAAGAAAGTATTCTTCATATCCATCTGCCATAATTTTCAATATTTACTAACCACAAGTCCGTGAGGAACCTATACAATAATGATTTTTGCCACTGGACTAAATATTTCATCATAATCTAGTCCATATAGTTGAGAGAACCCTGAATCTACAGTTCGAGCTTTGTATCTCTCAATTGCTCCATCCAAGAGGCAAATTATTTCGTAAACTCAATTGCAAGAGATGAGTTTGATATCTTCTAGTCTTGACACTAGTTCCCAAGTTTGATTTTGCTCTAAGATTATAATTTCTTCCTCCATTGTTTGCTGCAAAGCCGTATTTTGTGGTGCTTGTTCATACATCTTTGTCTCTTTAACTCGTCTTCTATAATAGAAGTATTGACATAGTTTATATTTGGATTTCAGATTCATTCTAACCATATAAGTTGTTGATGTGTTATTTCCTTTTCATTAGATTCGCTTGGTTGAGTCACTTCTTTCTCACCAACATTAGTGTCATTTGAATCTTCAAACACATCAAAACTTAAAGTGTATACAGTTTTCTCCCCCTCTTTTATGGAAGAATTTTTTCAATGTTATCCAAGTCTGCTAATACTTCGTTCTTCGAGGGTCACCCTACTTCCATTGTGTCACTCTAATCGTCAGTTATGTGGTTTGAGTATCCTGAATCAATGATTCAGTCATCCTCACAATCGATATGCTCTCTCATCATCGCCATGAGCACTAGTTCGTCTTCTTCTATGGCACATAGTACCTTTGCATCACATTCCTCCTCCATCTCCTTTTTGGAGGTTGCCACATTGATTTCAACGAACATTTTCCTTGGGCTAACAATCCCTGAACATGTGGCCCTTCTTCCTGCAATTGTAGCAAATTCCTTCAAATGATCCAGTTATCCTCGTAATTGATATTTTCTACCTTTATTTTTCAAGGTTGTCATGGTTGTCTTCTAGGTCTCAAGGATGGTTTGGCAGTATTGACATAGATTCATGTCTCAAGTTTCTTTTCCTAACTCCTTGAGTCTTGATCAATCATAAGCACTAGAGGTCACACCTTCTAATTGTCACTCACGATTCTAATGTTTCATAATCCGTCTTCCGAGGGTCATGTTCCATAATCGTTATTAATTTCTGTTAATAAACTTCTAGAAGAAGAATTATTCTCAACTTAGAGTTACGAAGCATCCTTGCAATGGAGCTAGAGTATTAAAAAGGACTCCAATGCTCTCTCTCCAACTAAAGAAAAGAAACAATCGTGCAAGTAAGTGACTTGCTAAACAAACATATAAACCCTTTTCGTAAAAATTAGTCCCTTGATCCTTTTTAAAATTGTTCTTTTATATTTATATTGTTCTTTCTTTTCATGTAGGGTGGAAAAGGGACTTGTCCGGCACCTTAACAACCTTTTATTGGGTTATCAATAATCGACATGGCTTTTGACTCGGGTTAAAATTTTCGTGTCCTTTCAGATAGAATTACGTTCAGAACAAATGTCATCACTAATAGGATTCGTCTCAGATTTGCTATAGCATCACAGTTAAGCATAATAATTTTGTCTCTCCAAAATAACTAATTAAAAATACAATTTGGCTAGATTTATGTACAACCAACTATTTCATGGTTGCTCGTTAGAATAAATGGAACAATTAATAGGAAAATGGTGAGTATGTAACATTCCGAGCCCAACAACTACAAACTCACACTTCAATATAATAAGTTTTCTCCTAAGATTTATAGGTTCTTAGATTTTATTGGAGACCTTAAAGCGTGATTTTTAAACTGGTGCAGAAGGGAAAAATTCCCGGGACACCTCAAGGAGCTCGGAAAAATGTTGATTAAATGGAAAGTTTGGGTCAAGAAGGTTTTAAAGAAGAAGAAGGGGAAGAAGGTAGTCTGGGCTTTTGGATAGTTTGATTCCATCAAGAAATGCGAGGTAAGTAGGTGGATCTTTCTTTTTCGGATTTCTGAAGGATTCTTGCAAGTTTCGTGTTGAAACTCGGTAAAAAATTGCGTCGAAAATCGAAATTGAGAAACGTCCAACTCCTATAAGAAATTTAACTTTTTTTTTAACTTCAAATTCGTTTACTAAGATCTGTGAGTGTAAAAAAAACTCAAGAAAAATATCTATGGAGAGGTAGACTTGAGGTCTTGAAATTTTGTGAATAAATCTAGTCAATTTGAATTATAGATTAGAAGTTAAAATAGTTTGAAACACAAATCTGAAAAATAAATCATTTCAGGCAATCGGCGAAGAACGTGCGGCGGTTAGAGAGAGGAGAGATACATCTGGCAACTGGAGGGACACATGTCGTAGAGACACATGTGCGATGCCGAAATCAACTCGAATTGAAAATTGACTCGCATGGTGTGAAGTGACCCTACAACCCGCGGTCCAAATTGGTAAGTACCACATAAAATTAGGGAGAATACTTGTAGGGTGTGATTCGTATTGCATGCTTGCTAGAGAAAATTACTCCTAAGTTGTTAGATCCGAAATATCCTGTACCCACAAAGTTAATCGTATATGTGATGCCCTTGCTACTTTGATGGAATTTCAAGTTGAAATTTCTATATGCTTATCTCTAATGCTCTACTATTGCTTATATTTGATCATGCTATTTTGGTAGAGATATTTGTGTATCTACACTTCAAGTGTTTGATGGATGCTTTAGCTCCATTGAGCTTGTGTGACTGCAAGCTTAGTAAACTTACTTAAGTGCTATTACTTATCATTCACAAAATAAGTACTTTCGTAGTGACTAGGTTAGGTTGAGATAAGGATCATCCAAATGTTGTTTAGAGGTATCGTGAGGAACGACTAGAGGGTGAGACCCCTTTGACCCTAAACCGCTACAAACTTAGAAATCTTGATTGAGTGAATATGGAAGTCAGAGTCCCTATCAAAACCACCTAACTACCCCTGAGACTTGGAGAACCACCTCAGAACCCCAGGATAAAGGAAAAAGATCCCTTAGCAGACAGGAGCTTGGTATAGCATTCAAGGACCTTCTAGTTCCCTTTCTACTCCAGTGTTGTACCGTCGATCCCGATGAGACGCTGGTTAGGATCGTGCTACTCAATGGTAGATCGACTACTCTACATTATGAAGAATTATAGACCAAAAAGCACTCCGATCGAAAGCAAGAAATCCCTCCCACTTTTCAGGATTTCTTCCAAAAAAGGATGAGCAACGAACAAATGCATCAAAGATTCGAAGTTATCGTGACAAAGGACGCACAAATTTGAGGAGGAGACTATTCAAGGGCCTTTTTGAGCAAAGTATCAGCTTTATTGATGCATTCATGACTCAATTTCTAAGCGACAAAAATTTACATGGTTTGGAGAGAAGAAATTTCCTTACATTTACAGGTAAGGTTACGATGAAACTCATTGGCCAAATCAACTTTTTTGAAATTTACACCGAGGCTAATATCATATGATGAACGATTCATCAATTCGTGCTTGAGAGACTTTACTCTACCATAGCCAAGAAAGCCAATTCTCTGAGCACCATGAACACTCTAAAGACATCTTTTAAGAAACCCTTAAATGCCTTCAGTTTTTGCATGAATCCGTGACCAAGCCATCGAGACATCTATTTGCTATGCCTCCAACATCCAAAAAAGGCTCAAAAGAGTGATGCCCCAACCACATGTATTCGAATTTAAAGTAACCGAGCTGCACCTTTGTTGATCATGATAATTGGGTAGTGGTCTGATGTGATACAAGTGGGACGTTTAACCAAACACTGGCATAGTTCACTGTGGAGGTGAGGTTTCTCAATTCATGGACTAAGTTGGCTTCCCTTCCTTTGACGTAGTCGGTATGACCATAATACAAAGTTTCTCAAGCTAGGATGTATAACGTCTCCCATCTTCTTATTCGTTTGTTCTGTGGAACCTAATGTCTTACTAATGAGGTCATATCAATCCGTATTATGTAGATGAAATCAATGAAAAATACTAATTTTATTCAACGTGCTGTCTATAGATAAATTTAGGATATGTGATCCCTAATAAGATCAATTGAGTATCCACGTTTGTGGTACTAGTTCATGTTTGGTTGCTGAAGCTCCTGTAGAGGCACCTATAGCAAGATTTTATTATATTTAGTCGTTTAGGTAAAACTTTAAAAACAACTCTCGACAAGAGAATCTATGCTATTTAGGAAGAACGACATCAATTTCTCAATCCTAAGGAATTAGTTCCTCTAAAATCCAATAAACAACAAATTACTTAGAATAGTTTGCAAATTTGTGGCACGAAAATGAAGAAGAAGAAGAAGAAAAAGAAAAGAAAAGAAAGAAAAACCGTATTATTGGAAGATTTTCTATAGATGGAGTGGCAAACTCTTCTACTTAGGATCAATGCGGCATCGAAGCGGAAAGAAAGTGGTATGTACACTCGAATTGTATTATTGAAGTTAGTTTATAGAGATGGAGGTGTGAACTCCTCAAAAAAAAAAAAAAAGGACAAATAGTGAAACGAGTTTTGAGCAGCTAAATCTTCCTTCTTGGCCCGGAAAGTTACCTGGTCTATCTTTCTAGTGAGGTTGGATACAGTATCCACTTCCCTTTTTCGGGTAGAGGGATCTTCATTTAGCCTATTGGTATGATATTCTCTCAGTCTATTGTTTTAATTCGTTGGGTATGCTCTTTCCATAGACGACTTTTCAAAAGGAAGGTAGATATGCTATTCTCCTCAAAAAGACCATATTTTTTTTAGTAGGAAGTAGATTAGTCCGTGAAAAAGCCTTGTCAACTATAATAAGTAGTTGTGACTCAAAATCAGTCGTTGCTAGTCTCTTAATAACATGGCCGGTCAGCGGTTAGAAGGGAACTTTGGAAGCTTACCTTGACTTATTGTATTTCTAAACACAAAAGAAACTTCATACATCCTTAATTTGGAATTCAAATCTCCATTTTTTGTTCCTGTTGAAGAAAATAAATCTCCTTCCACCACTGAATTCTGTGAGGTTGCAAGTAATATTGATCCTCTAACATTCTTACATGTAGTTCATGTTGTTCCTCGGAGAAGCTTCTCGTGGTGGCCTAGCTGTTGTGTGAATTCATGATGTTATCACCTTGTCATTTCAACCTTTGTTTTAAGGGATTGTCATTTCAAGTATTGCTACTATGGTTCCTAGTAGACTTTTTTTGGATGATTTTTTTCCACTTTTAACTAAATAAATTAATTTTATGTCCCTAATATATTTTCTTAAAAATTTAATCCATTATAATAGAGGAATGAGTAAGAATCCACTCTTAGAATTTGAACCATAATTTATAATTCGAATTTGGCACCGGATGTCCGACACTCTTCTGCAACATGATCATGTCACCTATTTCTTTTTAAGAGCTCGTAAGAGTGAAAACTATTCTTACAGACCAACACAAGTTCATTCGATATGTATTATCTTCATTAATATGCTTTTTAGGAAAATTTTAGTGAACCCATCTAGCATAGGATTGTTCCAGACTAAGATTGAGCCATAAGAAATGAATATTATCGTTTTAATTTGAATATGATATCGGTGCATCACATGTCCACTTTTATCATGTTATAACTTACTCTACAATATGTCTTTAATCATTTAAAATCAACTTTGTATGGGAATACTAGGGCATTTAAATGAGAAGTTTTATATTCAATATGATCATGTGCAGATTGTTAGACGAACACGACTCTCCACAATGGTATGATATTGTCCGCTTTGAGTATAAGCTCTCATGGCTTTGCTTTAGGGTTTCTCAAAAGGCCTCATACCAATGGAGAGTATATTCTTAGATTATAAACTCATGACCATTCCCTAACTTAACCAATGTGGGACACTTTCATCTAACACATATGACTGAAATTCCTATGAAAGAGAAACTTTGTACTATATTAGGAAGATTTCTACTAGGCCAGTAACTCTAATTTGAGTTAAAGAACTAAGATTCCTGTGATTGACAAATTAAAATCATTGTACCAGCATGAAATAAAAGATCTAAGTTAAGAATAGGGCACAATAGTTAGAATGATTTCACGATGTTCAAGTTAGAACATTTCTAATAGATCGAGCATTCATGGATCATGAGTTACAATCAAAGAACCAAGCTTAAGTATTCCTAAAATATTATTAGTCTCGTGAGCTAGGTCAATTAACAATTGTGAATGGTATCATCATCGCCAAGGTCACTTCTTATTCCCACTGGTATGTTATTAGTGTTATTAGAGACACAAATTGGACCTAAAAGTGTGTATGTCCAACAGCAGGTGTAGGATTCAATATCATCCAGCTTGACTCAAATTGGTCAATAGAATAGCGCATCGAGGCTACTTCATGTTTAGTGCAACTAACGTGTGTGGACATGGTCAATGGCTTTTCTAAACACGGTCACTGCTCCATAATCTTGAAGCGAGATGAGAGACCATATAGGTAGACACAGTTAGTTGACCAGCACGCTTGCTCACTCCCTCAAATTCAATGTGACTTTATGGTCCCAAGGAAGGGTCACCAGCTAATCTTTCATAGATGATTTTTAGGTTCATGATGCCATATTGTTTTTCACGTGATTTATTTATGTTGTGGTCATGTCTTTTAGATTCAGACTACCAATGATTCACTTCTTAGAGAATGTAAGCTAGCTAAGCAAGAAGATAATAAAAGTTGGTTCACCAATAACTTAGTTAACCTATTCAAGAGAGCAAGAGAGTGTGAGGCACCAAATTAGGCGAACAACTTTTAGACCCTAATTCGGTTTGTGACACATATGAGAGCCATCTCATGAACTCCCAAGAGCTTAATAGCTACAAAACTTAAGCCTAAATTTCCAAGGGTCTAGATTAAAGCATATGGTAACTAATTAGGTCATGAATGCAATTAAAGCCAACCAGTAAATTACTTGCCGAGATATCACCTTTCTTTTTCAAATGATAGTTGACCAACTGGTTGAGGTAAGAAGTGTTCGAGAGCTATGCAGCCACAAACGAAGGTCATTCCAAAGCGTTAATCCTTTTTGTATTTTGGTTATAGTTTACCATAATCCCCACTACTTTCGATTTGTAAATGTTTCCATCCTTTAAACATAATTTATATCGTAATTTTTTGTTGACAATCTATCCATTCACATCGTATTCAAAGCTTCGAATAACTAAGTCATAATAATTTAGGTTACATCACCAAGACATTGGGATATGAAAGAGAGAGAACCCCAAGAGCAATGCCTTCAACTTCACAAAACAGTCCGACAAGTTTAGATTCGGTTGGCTTTAGATTGAATCCGTTAATATATTGTTAAAAAATACCCTTTAGATTTTAGTGTTTGAAACATTTTTTAAAACTTCAAAAACACCTTTAAACTTTCTTAAAACTTCAAAATATTCTTAGGTTAGTATACGAACAAATCTATTAGTAAAGAGTTTGGACCTATTTGTATGAGATATAGATAGACAGTTTCTATCTATATATATTGGCGATATGAATTTTTAAAATTTTTTTTTATAAAGATTAAGCGTGTTTTAAAATTTCATAAGTATTTAAAAAAATATGATACGAGTATTCTTTAACTTTTTTAAAATTTAAAAGAT